AAAGCTATTTGGGATTTAAGTTTTATTTGCATACAAATTGTTTATTGCATAATGCAAACCACAAGTTGGCCTTAGTTTGTTTACATATTCAATATTCATTGCATAGGGTAACCACAAGTGGCCACATTGTTTGTAGGTACACAGAGAATCTTGTATAGATAGCAAAACCACAATTTGGCCGGATTTTATGCATAGTTGTTATAGGTTAGGGTTAGAACCACAAGCTGGCCATTTATAAATTATAGGTTATAGGGTAGGGCTAGAACCACAAGTTGGCCATTTATAGATTATAGGTTAGGGCTAGAACCACAAGTCAGCCGGGTTGTAAAATAGACTATTTAAGGAGGGGCTTTCCCCCCTCATTCCAATTTTGGATCATCTCATCTGATCATCAACCAGACAGAACAGAGCAATCAATTCATACATTAACCAGTGTGATCTTAATCAAGTGCCCCATTGAGATCATTCACACATTGAGAAGCATAGGAAAAAGAAAGTAGCAACCAGTACAACTTGTGATCTTAAACAAGAGACAGTGATCTTAAACCATTGTGCTCTTGACCAAGATTCAAGGAGGAAGGGAAAGACACTTTCAATAGTCACATTTTTCCTCACTATCATCTCATAAATTCACATTCATCATCAGTACATACGTCAATCATTTTTCAAAATACATAAACATAAAAACAAAAACATCTCTTACTCAACATTTCCACTCAAATAGTCTGCTGAATCCACGTTGATCTAGGTTTGATAAGAGACTGCTACACATAGTTTTCTCTATCATCAGTTTTGCCACAACAATAAATAAATTGTTGTGTTAACTCTAGTGTAGTACAATAGAGGGGCAGGTCTTTCAAACCAGCCGTAACAGCTGTAGTAGATCATTACATACGTGATACCTCATCTGCTATTTCCCCCTCGCAGGACTGCCACCATTCCCAAAGGAGTTCTCACATCTGGTGTCCCACCAGTGGCCTAAAATAACCTTCAGAAGATCAACAGTAAATCTCCCTCAGCAACAGAAGACTAAATTAAAGTGGAGGATCAGGGATCAACAGAGAGGGAAGCAATAACTGCCGTCTTCAAGAAGTTCTTTCCAGAACTTAAGCTAGAGTCAAGAATGTCTACCCCGGACGAATCCAGTATGGAGCAATCAGCAATCATCTTGAAACAGAAAGCTCAGATATCAAAAATGGAAGAGATGATGCAGGGTCTACAAGACACGGTAAATTTGTTACTTAAGCAGAACACGCCGCAGCAAGTGCCAATACCAGACACACCACCAATACGGGAATCAAGGCTAAGATTTGCTACATCAACACCCTTTGACGACAGAACACAAGGATTGGATACGACTATTGGAGCCGGAGACGATTCATTTTTAAACTCGGAAGGGGCGTCCCCATCCAGCCAAGGAAGACCTAAGACTAGGATAAAGTTACCAGATGAGCAAAAGGGAGTGATGTTAGATGCTAAAAAGACAAACCTTCATTTTGATGGGACCGAAGTTGAAGTATTCATCAGAAGAGTAGAAAAGGTAGCCTTTATACAGAATGCGGGAACAGTAGATCTAGCATTCCAACTACCCCTCATTATCAACAACAAGAAAATCAGTGAGGCTATAGAACAGATGGAGGGCATGAAACGGGAGACTGGGAACTATTGAAGAAAGAATTGACCCGCAAGTGGGGACGAGCCACACCATTCAGAAAGTATAGAGAAGATGCCATACCTCGAT